GATGCTCCTGTGAAATTCAGCCAAACAAAAACAACAAACCCAAAATCATGGAACTTATGTAGGCTTTCCTTCATTAGAAACAAATGTTGATTTTTTTTTTCTGTCTACGGCCTAATTAAAACCATCCTCTGCAATTATAGTATGACCAAATGAGTATCTTTCAGTCTGCTTTTCAACTGTTAACAGCTGCAACCAAAACCTTTCTTTGACATCAGCTACAAAATGTATAGCTCTTTAAGAAGGGCTTGTGGAAGAAAGATTTGTGATAAACACTAGGCTTGCTTAATTATTTAATCAAACATGTATCTATGTAATATTTTGTAACATGGATACTTAGCTGATATGCATCAAAAGCAGCAGTTTATGGTGCATATGCAAAGTTGCTAAAATATGAAGACTAGCAATGTGTTTTTCTATGTCACTGTGAGTGGTTCTCAGAAGTCATCACAATAGTTCCTGAAAATAATCCTTGAGTGCTTCCCAGAACTTAAGACTTGTTTAAGAAGCAATTTTAACATTTTTTAACTTTTCTGTTAATCTCAACTCTTGTGTAACCATCTCTCACTATGTATTCAGACAGTTGTATATATACATTTTACCTATGACAAGAAGTTAATTAGTAGGATAAAAGTAGAACTGCAAAAAGTCTGTGGTGTGTATGTGAATGTACATACGTGTGTCTGTGTGAGTGTAGACATGTAAAATTACCTGCAGGTAATACAGGCACAGGAGTCAATGGAGCTTCTCAAACAAAGTGAGAGTTTAAAACAACTGATTTCATAACAAAAGCTCGATGTTTACAGTGTTATGTTTATAGTGTATGTTTGCGTGACCTGTCCTTATTTTCTAAATAGGCAGTTTTTAAATTGAGAGGTCTTAAAGCTGATTTGAAAGCATGAAATTTGTAAAGGCCTTTAGGCCCTCAGGAGATGAGGTCCCCTCATCTTCATGATCCTCCCCAATTAAGCGCCTAACAATTAGAGTTATCTTTGTGTCCATCTTCTGTTGTAGCCTGTTTGTATCATGCAAATCAATCGTCTTGACACCTATCACTTGTTCTATCTGACCCAGACGTTTAAGACAAGATGTACCCTAACATAGCCTGACATACCTCTTCCTAACATACGGTCAGCAAAAACGAGGAGGCAGGTTCAGGGTGATTAACTATGACGTTACTTTATAGATTTAATGTAGTATGTGTGTATGTGAATCTGTATCTATACATATAATAGAGTCAAGTGTGTGTTTAGAGTTAGAAAAAGATTCAAGGTTATGTCTTGTATCCTTGGAGGTTAATTTAAAGTGATTTAGAGATCAAAATATTTTTTTCCGTCTGAAATTGTGAGAAAGCTGCCCACACATATAAATTAAAATAAAAATAAATACAAGGCTGTATGGGCAAAGAAGGAAGAGCATCACTGTACCCTCTATGGGTTGGGCTTACTTGTCGACTGCCTGGTTTAAAGCTGTAAGCATGCAGTGGTATCTCTGCTCGCTGACTTCCTTGTACACATTGTCACAGGAGGCTTGGCTTAATCAGTTGTGAGCTGAAAAAAGTAATATAAATTGGAACCTTTTGTCATGAAATATTTAAATGTGGATATGATTTAATGGCTTTGGGGAGAAAATTTAGTGTGAGAGATTATAAGAAACAAGAAATCGATTACATGTAAGAAAGGACTTGAACCTCTAATCAAGTATTACCATATACAGAGAGATCCCTAGCTAGTTATAGCTTAATTCAAAGGGGATAATGGTTAGATTTTTTGTTAATTTTAAGTTTTATCAAAAAATGACATTCCTATTCGCTCTTTATCTAGTTTTGCATAATACATACTTACAATGATTTATGGAAAGCCATCACTATGTAAATATTGAAGCATATTCTACGAAATATCCGTAAGTAGTGTCTTTTCTATGAAATATAGGCATCCGCGCAATCTTTCTTTACTTGTGCCGGGTGAACAAAGCCAAACAACTTCTTGCTGAAAATTAACAAGATATAGCTTGATATAACTCACAGGAGTAGGGAAGGATGATGCAAGAGCAGGTTTCTGATTCCCTGCGGTTTCGTGGCAGCAGGGGTGACCCCACGACAATCACACCCTTGACTGCCCGTTTCTCTGGTCAGTGGGACTTAGCAGCTGCTGAAGGTCCGGCACTCCTCACTGCAAATCCGTAAACTAAGTGAAACAGAGGGTGGTGGTGTCTCATTAAGAGGTAGCTCATGTAGCCAACTGCCGGCTTCTCTGGGTTAAGCTGTGGAGTCGCTCCCCGAAAGCACACTGGGAGCCCCTGCACGTACACGACGTCTGCCGGTTCCGTGCGCACAACGAGCTGGGTGCGCTGCCGCTGGGCGCAGGACCGAGCGATACCGCCTTCCACTTACATGGGGAGTCCGTTACAGGATCTGCACCGACTGTTCTTATGAGTTATTGTTGTGCTGGCTGTATTTCATTTTTTTTTACTTAAATATCCGTTTTTGTAAAGCATCCATCTGTTACATAAGCCTGTGAGTGATTTACAAATTAAAGCAAAAACAAAACAAATTACTACCAGTAGTACATTACAAAGCAGCCTGCAGCTGGCTGCAGACAGGATCCTAATTCAATACATGTAAGCAGCGTAAATTAGACTATGTTATTTCCATCTTCAAACAACGCAAGTTTCAGTTAGAAGGAATTAATCCTTGTGGCTTGAGATTAGAAATGTGTGTATATAGGTTGGGTCAGAAGTGACAGCGAGGGCCTGGAGACCAAAACCTGAACTGAGTCTGGTTTCGCAGTTCCCAGTAGGAATGACTCAAACGTAGAACCAGTACGGCTGGCTGGAAGTTGTGGAAGATGTACATGTAAAAAGCTTTATGTCACACTCATGGAGAGAGTAGCCAAAGTTAGTTGGACGGGAAAAAAATATAATCTTTGAGCTTTAAAATACGAACCTGGCCTTTAATTGTTTGTGGTGTTGGTGTTTTTTTCTTCCCTCCCCTCGCCTCATTTTGGTTTTGTTTCGTTTCGCTTTGTTTTGTTGTTGTGTGGGGTTTTTTGGTGTTCTGGATGATTTCTACTAGATAGCACTGACTGCCTGTAAAATACTGCTCCATCAGACAGGTAGAACTGGGTGGGCATAGATATTTAGAGATGTCCACAGTGCTTAAAGGTGTTCAAAGGTGGGGACATGTCCTGACGAATGCTGCAAACCAGGGCAAATATCTGCATCATGGTGTTTCCTTCATCACTGTGTAAATACATGCTAAACATTTTCTGCATAGAGATGGTTCCTGGGGCTTTCCATCTGGGTCAGCTGGGTAAGATTTTCCATAATTAATTGCTGTTGAAGGTCTCATAGTCTTGTAAGGTTTGATTGTGAATGGTCACGTGTGGAGCCTTTCTAAAGGTTTTACAGTTGGATCTAAGGTTCTGAAACGTATGTGGCATTGACCTTCGTCACTAACTTTGTATCCAGAGAGGTGAAACAGAACTGAAATAATAAAACCAGCTCTAATCAAATAAATGTATGCTTTACTACTTGGGGCAAACTGCATTTTCCAGTACTCTCGAAAATGTAAAGGGAGAGAAGAATCAGTCCTCTGAGGACTGAAGATAATAAAATAAAAAAATAATAAGAACTGAAAAAACCAAAAGGTATTTGCAGGCTTCATAATCAAACAAGAGCTAGTGGTTTTTGCAATACGGTGTAGTCCAAAGTGTTCTGTTAAGGTTCGGTAGCTGAGATTAAAGATTTTAAAAGATCAGAGACAGTACAGTGGAGTATCTTGCAAGACTTTCAAACTGTTTAATGCATGAGGAAGCATTGAAATAACTCTGGTCTGATGGCCTGCAACAGTGCTTGTCGGTTATAGTTACTGTGCTGATGTTATGTCCAGCATTTGCCCAAAAGGAAAGATGCCAATAAGATGATGCATTCATTATATAAGTATTTTAATACGTTTTTATCAATACATGCTGGAATGGATTGCCTGACATTACATTGCAGAATTTTTAAGTCCTACCTTCAGGCAAATCTCATGCTTACTAGCAAAAATGAAAGTGTGAAATGCTTTTTAATGTATATTTAACAACAGATAGTCTAGTGATTACTGATGTGTATTCTCTCTGGATTTTTCCCTTGCTATCAGAAGGCAATGTTAAGAGACAACATTTTTACACATTTATGCTATCTACATCCATCAGATGCTTACTTTTTACATATTTTTAACTGTCATTTATAACAAGGCTGCAAAAAAGTAGTCTCTTAAGTCTAAATCATACCAAGATTGCAAGCTTACAATCAGTTGCCAGTAATAGTCCAGTTATGCTTAAAACCAGTGCCCCAATTTCTACCTTTCAATGCAAGTTTATAATGAATATGTTTTTCAGTATTGCTGTCATGGGGAAAAAAACCAGAAAAAGAAAAAAAAAAAGGAGTAAGGTACAAGTATTATGTACTATTTTTAAGACTTTTTGCCTTGCATCAAAATTTCTTGTGAGATGGCCCATGAGTCACTTCAGTCTTATGTCTGCGTATATAAAAGAAGCAAATCTATCAATCCAATGCATTTATTTAGCTCTTTCTTATAGTGTCACCATTTAAAAGCAATTGAGGTACAACTTTCTGTATTTTACAATGGAGTGCACAGCAACAGTTCACGTTTTACGCTAATGTATGCTAAACGGTAGCATTGTATATAGATCACTTGTTGTTAAAACGAAAGTGTTGAAAGCATTTTAGATCACAGTCCCGTGGTCTACATTTTGTTTGCTCTGACATTATTAAACTCAATCTGTTTTTCTGACTGTGACTCTAATTACTATATTTGCATGGCTGGAAAGTTTGCATTTTTGGGTTGTGTTCTATTAACGCTGTTTGCATGTTGTTTTTTGAGCTTAGTGTTTCATGTTCAGGCAGCAGAGCACCTCCTATTGAATTCAATAATTATGCAGAATCAATAAGTTTTTTCTTTGTGTTTGTCTTTGTTGTTTCTTTGATATGGCCTCTAGGATGCTGCAGGCAAGGTGCTGGACCGCTGGGCCATCATGTCCAGGGAAGAAGAGATCATTACCCTTCAGCAGTTCCTGAGATTTGGAGAAACCAAATCCATTGTGGAGCTGATGGCAATTCAAGAAAAAGAAGGGCAGGCTGTGGCTGTGCCGTCTTCAAAGACAGATTCAGATATAAGGACTTTTATTGAAAGCAATAATCGCACCAGGAGCCCAAGTCTCCTTGCTCACCTGGAGAATAGCAACCCTTCCAGCATTCATCATTTTGAAAACATCCCGAATAGCCTTGCATTCTTGCTTCCATTCCAGTACATAAATCCAGTCTCTGCTCCACTGTTGGGGCTGCCTCCAAATGGCCTCCTGCTGGAACAGCCAGCAATGAGGCTCCGTGAACCAAGCCTTACAACCCAAAATGAATACAATGAAAGCAGTGAATCTGAAGTTTCCCCTACGCCTTTCAAGAATG